CAGAAATTAAAACGGGCACTTTCGGGCACATTATACACCCAATGTCTAAGTCCAAAAAAGTGGGAGTTTTTAGTTTTGATGCCGGTAAGACTATCAGTCTTCTTGATCTCGTTAGTGGGAAGAAGGGGGTAGTCTACGTTCACGTTAAGTGAAAGTCCCGTTGGGAATTTGCGTGGATAAGAATATTGCTGAGTCTCATTCAAATCTTACTACGAATGGACCGAAAAAACTTATAGTTGACCGAAATTTCGAAGAAAATTAATTTACCGGGTGTCGTACATTTTAAACCAAGTCCGAAGAGCGCGCGTGGACTCACGTTTACATTGCCCTTCCGAAGTGTTTCCGGATGTGAGTGATGCAACGACGCCTGGCTATCCAAGAATGTTTATGATAACCCAATAGCATTAGTTGGATAAGAAAAGCATCGGAAGAGCAGGGAACACCTTCACATCGGTGGCTTAATTGTGTGTGAGAAGGATGCCCTGATGGTTTCGGAAGAAGACCACCATGTTTTCATGCAGCACGGAAGCTACTAGTTGGCCATCAATGCTACCTGTTCCCCGTGTCTCGATGCTTTTACTATATTTCGAGCACCTGGGACAGACCAAATCGTCGACATTCAACTACTGGAACAATTGGGAAAATTGTTCAGTCGACCTGATATTATGATCATGGGCGACTTCAACGCGTCAGGGATTGACTGGAATACGATTCAATCGTCAGGTTTAGAATCGAAATTCGACTACTGTTTGTTGTAAAAAAAACACTAGAGGCACTCCTCACACAACTGAAACTGAAACGGAAACAAACTGAAATATGTCTTGTCTCCAACGAGAACACGTAAAAAACAAAGGGTTAACTACTTGAATTTAATTCTTACGAAAGCATCATTCAGCACAGGTGAGGTCATCGCTATGCCGCCCTTCGGTCGAAATGACCGTATTATGCTTATGCGGGATTATTCCTTATTCGCTGTTTCGCATGCTTAAGACAAAAACGTAAAATTTGACGATGTGAATTCAGTCCAATGAGGGCAGATTTATCCTTTATCGAGTGGATCTTAATGCTTGCGAATAAGGCCAGCGGCGATTGGGAGTCGTCCAATAAAGTTCTTCTGCAGATCATCAGCGAACGCTGCCCACCGAAAAGTGTAAGTCAGATCAAGCGGCCCGGGTGGTTAGATAGCTGACTAAGGCAAACAATTAAAAGGAAGAATAAATCATGCATAAAATACTGCGTCGCTGGATACGTCGAATATTTCAGCAACTACCAAACAGGGACAACTAAGATGAAAAATAGGATAACAGGCGTTGGTAACTCGTTCAGTTTTTGCTAAAAAATGCATTATAGGATTCCTTGTCCTTGAGGGCTCGGTTTAATAATAATAATAATTTTTATTAAAGATCTGTCGGGGTCCCATCAAAGGTGTGTTCGTTTGATCAGTCTCGCCCATAATGGCGGTTGTGCCACCTTCAGCAACAGACAGGGAAGCCTACGTACCATCAGCTGAGGACCCAACGAAAAAGTAGGTTGCGGATGTAAATATCGAATCAAGTTAGTTAAAGTCATTTTACTGAGGGCATAAGGCTTTCGTCCTTGGGCTCTCAATTCATACCCGGAAATAATGATAAAATCAGTTATACAGCAGTGAGCCTGGAAATTATGAAGTCACCGGTATGTGTGAGCCAGTCGAAAACTGTCGCCACTGACACAATATTGACTATATATACGACAGTTTCTCGGCAAATAAATAC